GAAAACATTGTCTGGCAGCTCTGGACTTCCCCGCTAGTCATGCTCAGGGCTGTGGTGAGACTTTTTGACTCTACAGCATCTTCTCACAGGCCATGAGTTAGGGGGAGGCAGAGGAGGTTCCTCTTTGGGGTCCCTCTCAGTCTTGCATGGGTTCAGCACCCTGCTGTGTGCCCTGGTTTAGCTGCATTGTGGGAGGACGAAGAGGGTCCCTGAACAGAGGATGTGGGCTGCAGGGTCCCAGGTTGGGTTTGCTCAGCTGAAACCTGTGTCTGTCCTGCACTGATTAATGCAGGTGCCACCATCCCAACACACAGAGAGTTCTGAGCCCAGGGGTCTGATGCTTGAAACCACTTCTAGGCATGGATCCCGCACAAATCTGTAAGGAATAAAGAGGGGAAAAAAACCCCAAACAGTTTTGATGTACCCTTTTAAAAGAAAAAGAAAAAAAGAAGCAGCTTTTTTTTCCTCCCAAGTAAACCTGCTAATTAAGCCAGCAATATCTTCATTGCAACTCCCAATTGACAGGGCTGTGCCAATCATTTTGCTCTTATTAATTAGCTCTGCACTAATGACTTTCTTAGAGCAGGCTGGCTCTTGCTGGTTCTAACCAGCCAGAAGGTTCTAGCACATTTGCTGTGGTGCTGGCTGGACTTGAAGGCCCTGCTTTGGGGAGTTGAACAATGGCAGAAGAAATAGGAGCCAGCAAAGTGAGTTTGATCTGATCAGCCATGTGGAAATACAGCCACGAAATGCTGTAGGGAAGCTGTAAGTGTAACTTATGTTGCTGAGCATTTTTATTTATCTTTTTATCCAACCTGATTACTGAGGCTGAAGTTTGGGTTTAAAGTGGCAATTGGAAGCAAGGAATCTGGGAGGGTTAAATTGAGATGAAAATACATTGAAGTAATTTCTGAGGAACTAACTCTGGCTGACAGTATGTTCAGTGAAAGGTTAAAGGGAGCCTTTTTAAATGTAGCTGGGGGAAAAAAAAAGAAATGCTGTTTTCCAAAAGCAATGGAAGCCCCAGAATGCAGTTTCTGTGTTCAGTGAAGAAAAACCAGATGAAAGCAGCAGGTTTTTAGAAAGAAAGGACTGTCAGAGAGTATGTCATTGGCATCAGGACTTGTTAGTCCTTATTTTTAAGATTTTTACCTTGAAAAGCAAAGAAGTGGTGCACTTGAGTAAACATAAACCACTGAAGCCAAGAAAACCAGTAAACAGCTTGAAACAATACCCAGGGTATAAGTGGCAAAGCCCTACAGGGACCAGTGCTTCAGACTGGAAAAACTTTGACAAAAGGCAAGCCAGCCCTTGGCAGTGCTGTGAGGCTCGTGCTGGTGTGTTGTGGGGGACAGGTTTCCTTCAGAGTTGCATTGCTATAGCTTGTTTCATAGAAGGGTTGGAGTTGGAAGGGACCTCTGGAGATCATCTAGTCTAACCCCCCTGCCAAAGCAGGTTCATCTCAAGCAGGTCGCACAGGAAAGTGTCCAGGCGGGTTTTGAACATCTCCAGAGATGGAGACTCCACAACATCTCTGAGCAGCCTGTCCCAGTGCTCTGTCACCCTCAAAGTAAAGTTTTTCCTCATCTTCAGATAGAACTTCCCGTGTTCCAGTTTGTGCCCATTGAACTCTCTGAACCCTGCCAAGTCTGTCCACATGCAACTTCCCCCGGGCCTCCCGTACCCCCCAGAGAGCTGCCAACCAGCAAAACCATTT